TTTTTTAAAGGAGTACACTGCTGTATCAACTTACAGGGTTTCTGAACACTTTAATAGTTAGAAAATGACTTCAATTGTGATGGCTTTTTCAAGCCAACCATCTGGTAAATCTGTATGCTAAAACTAGTTGTTGATCTTCAGCTTTCCTTAATGAATAGATTTGCATAAACTAAATTATCCTGTTAGGAAATCTAGAATAAAAAGAGACATTATTTAAAATATGTAAAGATGTAGTAAGGGGAAAATATATCCAATAGATTTTGCTCCAAAGCTTAACCAATCATCATCAGCTAAGGATCTGGACTATACATTTTGATCCCAATCAATTTTATTGGGCTCACTTTGGAAAAATATTTTACTAAGACAACAACATATTGCAAATACAGATCCATAAGAGTAACTTTTTTAAAAAAGCAACAATTGAACTAGAGAAATAAGATAGGTAACAGTAACACCATAAAATATTGTATTTGATTTGTTGAGGGAGGTTCCAGGACTGGTGAAGAACAAATGTTTCCTCTGTGAGTGCAGACAAAGCCTCAGATTAAGTATTTAGCTTATGCAGTTAGCACCTGTTAACACTTCACCTTGAATTTTCCCTTAATCTGTGCATCATACTTATGCTAACCGATCTGTTTAACCTTGTATTTAGCTGTGAAACCATTCCCAGACCTGAGGAAGAACTCTGTTTAGGTCAACGGTGTCCAACTTTTTTATGCCCAAGATCTTTCTGAATTTTAGGGCAATCGGATATCTATTCTGCCCCTTAGCCCAAAGCCCTGCCCCACTCACTCCATCATCCCTCTTTCTGTTACTCACTGTTCCCCATCCTCACTCACTTTTACTGGGCTGGTGCAGGAGGCTGGGATTCAGGAGGGGGTGTGGGAACAGGAGAGGAGATGGGTGCTGGCTCTGGGAAGGGGATAAGGGCTGAAGCAGGTGCTTCTGTGCAGGAAGGGATTTGGAATGCAGGAGGAGGTACGGGGTGCAGAAGTGGGTGTGCGGTGGTGGTTCTGGGAGAGGATTCAGGGCTAGGGCTTGGGATCCTGGCTATAGGAGAGGGTTGGGGGTTGGTGTGTCGGGCAGCATTTACCACCAGACCAGTGGCTCCTGATTACGGGTGCAGCAATGCTGAGGCAGGATCTCTACCTTTTCTGAGCTCATACAACTCTCAGAAGGGGCCAATGCATCCCTGTGACCCTGGGGCATGTGGCTCTGTGTATTACCCCTATCTGCTTGCACTGCCCCATTAGCTCCCATTGGCCACAGTTCCCATCCCTGGCCAACAAGAGCTGCGAGTGGCGGTGCTTGCAGGCAGAAGCAGCATGCAGAGACTCCTGCCCCCTTCCAGATTCCACTCCATATACATGGAGCCACACTGGCTGCTTCCAGAATGGGTCAGGTGTATGAGGCTGGAGCAGGCAAGGAGCCTGCTGATCATGATCCACTGGGAGACCTCCCCAAGATCAAACAGTCAATCATGATCAATTGGTCACCACCAGTGTTCCTTGTAAGCTGAGCACTTGGGCAGGAAAAAATCAGGTGCCACCTAGCTGATTAGCAGAGCACCCACTGATGCCCATAGCTGGTAGCATGTGTTTCTATTGATGGTGCACCTCTGCACTTGTCTTGGCACGCACAACAACATTTATTCTGCATATGGATAAAAAAAAGTTAGTGGAACACTTATCACACCTGGTCTAACTAGAATGCTGGTGGCTCCCACCAACAGAATTTAGTCCAGTAAAAGATACCTCACCCATCTTCTGTCTCTACTATTCTTGGATCAACACAGCTACGACAACATTGCATACAACAACTGAGCTATGCAGAATTACACCAGTTCAGTTTGGGCCAGTCATGTTTGTAGTCTGTTTCAAAACAATGATAGTAGTAGTAGTAGTAAATAGCCAAATTGGAAACTGCATCAGTAATACCAGTACAATTTATATTCTCAGTTCACAGGACAATACAAGACTGATACAAAATAAGGTTTGAGGCATTTTCCATCCCTATTTTTCTATAGTAATATACAATCAAAACAATGACTTATTTTATTAGAAAATTACTCGCGCAAAACATGTTAAAGAATTATTAACATTGTAGGCCCATATTAATAGTCAAAGTGTAGATAATATTAGTGTTAAAACATGTACACAATACACCTAACATTAGAAATCCAGAAAATGCAAAATTAAAGTTGTGCTTGCATCAGTGTGTAAAAAATGGCCCAAGTAACAAAAAATAAATGTCAGCCAAAATGTGTTGGCATTTCACTAGTAATAATATTAATTATTGCTAATGACTGAAGATTGGGATCAATAAATGCAAAGTGTCCATTTGGCACTGATCACCTTTCTTAACAATAATAGTAAATTGCTTTAGCAATGCTTAAACTGGTGCATCTGGATGATAGGCATATGTAACCCACTGTTCTAGGGCATGTTCTCTGTCCCACCACACTAATACCAACCCTGGTACCTTCCCTTGCAACAAACCCTGTTGCCAGCTTTGTCCACATATTCACTCTGCTAATACCATTATTGGACCTAACCAAGTGAGTTATAAGATCAAGAACATACCGTATATTCCTGCGCATCCAGAAATATAATTTATGCTATCATGTGCCGAAAGTGTCCGTCTGCTATGTACAATGGACAAACGTCTCAGACACTTCATCAAAGGATCAATGCCCACAAAACAGATATTAGACAGGATCACAAAGAAAAAACAGTTTCTTGCCATTTCAACCAGAAAGGACATTGTCTCAACAACTTAATTACCTGCATCCTGCTTCAAAAGCCTTTTAAAACTGCCCTTGAAAGAGAATCCTCTGGTCTGTTATTCATGCTAAAATTTGACACTTTATGCCAGGGTCTTAACAAAGACTCTAGTTATCTTACCCATTACAAAGATAGCTTCCCCAATTATCACCTCTGATATCATTAGCTCACAGACATTTACCTTTCCCTTCCCCCCACCGCATCTCCCTTCTGTTCTGAAATTTGATTTGTCCTTTTCATATGTGTTCTTTTTTTTAATTGTATTCTTTGGTATATATGGTTGTGACTATTTTGTTCCACTATTTGATCTGAGGAAGTGGGTCTGGCCCACGAAAGCTCATCATCTAATAAACCATCTTGTTAGTCTTTAAAGTGCTACATAGTCCTGTATTTTGTTTCAGCTACCCTAGAATAACACAGCTACATTTCTATCACCCTTTTATTTCAGTGCCTTATTCATAGTGAAAAGGAGTCTGCTACAGCAGTCAGCAAAGTTGATGTAGCTCTGATTTAGGAAAGCACTGAAATGTGCATAATTTTAAGTATGAAAGTCTCATTGATTGCAATGTTTAATTTAAGCATGTGCCTAAATGTTTTGGTGAGCCGGACCCTTAGTCTAAAGGCTCATGCTTTAGTCTAAGGGTATGTCTACACTAGCCCCCAAGTTCAAACTAGGAAGGCTAACATAGGCATTCAAAGTTGCAAATGAAGCCCGGGATTTAGATATCCCGGGCTTTATTTGCATCTTCCCGTCCAGACGCCATTTTTAAATCCCCTTAGTCCGAACTAACTGCTCGCAGCTACACGTGGCAGTCAAACGTTAACTCGAACTAAATACTTAGTTCGAGTTAACTGTTACACCTCATGGAATGAGGTTACCTTGTGGCCAGGGCAGCCAGCAGGGCACCCTGGGAAGGGCTGGAGGCCCCCTATTCCGAAATAAGCATCTACACAGTGCTTATTTTGAAATAGCAATTTCAAAATGGGCGCTAATCCTCGTGGAATGAGGTTTACCAATTTCAAAATAAGCCCTCCGCTATTTCGAATTAATTTCAAAATAGCAGTTGGCTTGTATAAACACTAGGAAAGTTATTTCGAAATAACAGCTGTTATTTCAAAATAACTTTGCTGTGTAGACATACCCTAACAGATTTATTGGAGCATAAGCTTCCGTGTGCAAAGACTCACTTCGTCAGATGCACAAAAGTTTATGCTCCAACAAAGGCATGAGCATTTAGACTAAAGGTCGGGCTCACCAAAACATTTAGGCACATGGTTAAATTAAACATTGCAATCAGTGAGACTTTCATACTTAAAATTATGCATCTGACAAAGTGGGTCTTTGCCCATGAAAGCTTATGCTCCAATAAATCTGTTAGTCTATAAGGTGCCACAGGACTTCTTGTTTTTCATATTAGTGGGACTCTTTCAATTTAGTTGAGAGTCACAGTGACTTGTCCAGAGAAGGGTGGCTTTTTCAGTACTTTTCAACTCTTCTGCTCTGGAAGTTTCTTAAGGAGGCGGCGTTGGTGTAGCTGTAGAGATAGATGCAGTTACACTTATGTGCATGCACTAGCCAGTTTGTTTAGTAGTGTCACTGTGACTGAGCAATTGCTGAGGCAGGGCTGCAATTTGAGCTCCTCTGTGAACTGGATATAAAAAGAAATAGTCTTGTCACAGTTCCCACCTCCCCTGGATTTCCAGCTCTCAACATGTGCTGATAACAACAGCAGCAAGATTCAAAACTCCAATCTGCCGCATAGCCTTTCCAGTGACACACAATAAAGAGGGTGTTCAAGTTGGTTCTGGCTTCCTTGAAAACAATATCCACTATACAATAGCATTAAACCCTAGCAGAGTCATAAGATAGGTCTCAAAAGTAAATACATATAATTTCTACTGCAAACAGCCATGCTCACTGTTTCTAATGCAATAGGCAACCTAATTGCCTATTTTGTATACACTAATTGTATATATTCTTTGCAAAGAGATTTCAGTCTATTGATTGAAATATTTAGATATCAATACATTAATTGTAATTAGAATTTAAATACACACAAATAATATTTATTAACTTTCTCCATGTGTGAAGACACTTGCAAGAATTAGCTATCAGACATCAGACTAGAGATATCTCTCTCACACACACACGTCCCTCCCTCCCGATTCTGGTGGGGAGAACGTATGGGTGGAACATGCATGACATAAGTCACCTACCGCTGTAGACCCAGAAGATGTGGCTACAAAGACTTTGATCACCATTTTGACAGTTGTAGCAGAAAACCACCAGAACAATCCTGTTATCTTCAAGTCACCAGAGCCCTGAGAGTGAGCCTGACATTCAGCAGCTCTTAGAACAACCAGAATCCCAAACGAATCTCCCCTCCACATCAGTCTGACTAGTTTTAGCCTCTCCCACCCACTGGTATCCTGGGTTTCCCCAGCTTCATTGGCTCTTTTAGGTATTTTGGGAGTCTAGAAGCTGGGAGAAGATTGGTTGGCAAAAGTGTCTATCACAGAGGGACTTGCACCTGCCTCTAGCCTCTTCACTTTAGAATTGACCGGGTGACAGTCCATAAAAGGCAAGGGAGAGTGGTGCACCAATCAAACAGGGCAAGGGAAATGCTGGTGGGGACAGGAGGAGAAAGAGTGCTGAAAGAGTTTGCAAAGCTGCAGGACAAAGTTTAAAGGGATGTCAGCATTTTAATAATAATCTCTTATATTCAAGAATTCACATCCACTCTCAGAGTAAAATATGGAGCCTCAGTTTGAATCTTATTTGCAGAGTAGAAGCGGCAAACTCTACCTTTAAAAACCAAACAATTTGGAAACAACAATTCTGAGATGAGCCTGAACTAAAGCCACAGTTTCAAAGAGACCTGATGAAACAAGTTTTCCTGTACTCTCTGTGGCCAATGAACAGTCCATAGTACTTTTTGTAAGAGTGCAGGCCAGGTTTCCTTTTGAAAAACTTCTCTGAGTAGTACAGTGCACTAGTTTTCCACTGACTGCTGCTTTCCCTCCCGTTGATGGCTGCACATCCGTGATGCAGATAACACACTGTTTAGCTTCTGGGGATCTTTCAGAATGAGCATTATTTTAGGAATGTGAAATATCACATTATTTTTAAATTACAAGGACAAAATTCACCTCTGCTGTAATTAGGTTCAACTCATCCATTTCAATGGAATTGAGATTCTTAATGCCAGATGTGAATTAGGCCTCATGAATTTAGACCTCATTCCACAGAGCATTTAAAAACCCTTAACTCTAAAACTCAAGGCTTTAGGCTCCAATCCTGAAAATGTTTAACACTAAACATAGTGCTAACTACCATCGACTCAGAGTTATGCTGAAAGTAAGCAGTAAGCAATGCACTTGGCAAACAACTTAGTACCTATATGGAACATTACATAATTTTAAATAAATATTGCTCTACTGCATCAAAAATATTTCCATCTTTACGTAAATGGAATTCTGAATACATTCATTGAAAAAGGATGCTTTACAATTTCACTATTTCTCATTCTCTGTCACCTGCTTCTTCCACAAAGAGACACAATGGCAATCTTGCAAGCAATGAAGACAGGTAGTAAAAAATGTTTGCTGACAGTTTTTATAAAAAAATTAAATAAACTGTGCCAAAAAAGGTAAACTATGTATATTTTTGTTAGTCTCTAAGAGTGCGTCTACACTGCACCTAAAGCTCGAAAGAAGCTACACAATTTGAGCTGTGCAAATTGCGTAGCTCAATTTCAAGTTAATTTTGAATTAGCTTATTTTGAAATTTGGCTCTGTCTACACAGCACTTATTTCAAAATAAATCACTATTCCAAAATGTCCCTTACTCCTTGTAGAATGAGATTTACAGGGACATTGGAATAGCAAGCCCATTATATTTCAAAATAACAAGCATGCTTAAAAGACATAGAATAGCTATTTTGGGATACCAGAGATATCCCGAAATAGTTCTGTGGTATAAATGTACCTTAAGGTGCCACAGGACTATGCTTTGTTTTTACAGTTACAGACTAACATGGCTACCCCTCTGAGACTTTTATGACAAAAAAAGATACTTCATGCTAAAACTTGGCATACAGTCATTTACCCAGGAGATTTTTATTGCTAAATTCAACAAATTATTTTAGCAGAGACCAGAGAAACTTGGACTTTTTTTTATAGATAGCTGAAATAATGCCAGTTTTCTATTGCATTTGACTTGTTTTTCTCCTCCAGGCTGCCCACTTTCTCTGGCCTTTTTTTTTTCATTATTACCATTCACTTTACTATGCTATGCCTTTGTAACATTGTCTATTTTATATTGGCTGGTCTTGCAACTCTGACAAGCTGTAAAGTTGTTCAACTGAATAATTGTTGGATATCCTGAAAAATGTGTAATGTCTGATAACATATACACGCTGTGAGTCATCTGCTTTTTGCATTTTTATTTCTTTATTTTAAAAAAAGCACAAAGATTTTAGCCAGTTTTGAACAACTAATTTAATTTATTGAATTGTATAGCATCTTCACAGGCCTTCAAATGCTTTGCAGAATTACCCTGTAATCGTTTTCTACAAGGCATAGTGCCAACTACCATGTTTAAGTTGCACCGCTAATGATTATTATACACAGCTGTATTTGCAGGTTGGGTCCATTAAGGCATTTATTGTCTTGTAGAACTGTGACAAGAACCATGATCAGTGCACTACTTCTTTTTATGACCCAGCTATCAAATAGCAAAATATTGTAGCCATTCTGCAATAGAGCACGAGTCTCCCCCCGCCCCCCCCCCAAGTTTGAAAAAGTTTCAATTTTTTACAGTTATATGAGTAAAATGTTTATTTTTCAGACGTTTTTATATTCGGATTTGTATCCACCAAATATGGGGTGTCCAGCCCCTCTTTTCTCTGGCGTTTGGGACTAAGGCTGGGTGGGTTATGAGTTCCCCTCTCTTTGATCTGAGGAAGTGGGTCTGGCCCACGAAAGCTCATCATCTAATAAACCATCTTGTTAGTCTTTAAAGTGCTACATTGTCCTGCATTTTGCTTCAACTACCCCAGACTAACACGGCTACATTTCTATCACCCCTCTCTTTGGGGCTAGCCTGTGAGGTTTTGCTGTGGGTTTCAAAGAGAGGTTTTGCCCTTCGATCACAGGCTCCCTAATAGCACTGCTGGGCGGGACTGTAGCAAGAAGAGAGGCCGGTGGGTTTCTAGGCATCAGACACTGGAGGGTTAGTACATGGAGTTGATGCAGAGCATTGCAAGCGAGCGCTGCTGCTGCTGACTATAAAACAGTTGTGGGGCCGCCTCCCCTTACAGCCCCCGTCGCTGGGGGGAGGGGAAACAAACGCAGCGGAACGCCTTTATTTTCGGGGAAGAAAGGAAGTAAAGGGCGGGAGAGGAGAGCGCGCGGGAAGACCCAGGAAGGGGGAAAGTGGCGGGTCCAAAGCCAGGCGCCCCGGCTCAGAACGCTGAACTACAAGCCCCAGGATGCACCGCGCCAGTGTGCCCGGTTCCCATGGCAACAAAGAAAACAGCGTTTCCTGCGAGAGCCAGGTAAGGAAGGGGTGACGGCCCCGCCCTGTGCGGGGGAAGGGGCAGGGCGGGGCGGCTGTGCGGGAGGCAAAGGTGGAGGGTCCTAGCTGGGCGGGGGGAGGCAGAGCAGAGGAGCTACAGGGAGCCCGCCACCCGGGCTGTCCTGCCTGGCTGCTTCCTCTGCCTTGCAGGGTCGGTGCAATCGCAGCCCCGAGTCCCTGCAGCCTTCGGACTGAGGTGGCCTGCTGGTGCCCCAGGCCTTGGGCCAGCTGGCTGGAGGAAGATCTGGCCAGATAGTAACACCCTCCGCACCACGCTTTCCCAGCCTGCCTTCTGGCTGCCATCAGACCATACGTCATCTCTCCCTGCCCCCTTATTTTTGCTGCCTCTGGGGGGAGGGGGAGTGACAACTTATGTTGAAACAGAGATTGCAATCTGTGTGCTAATGTAGATCCTTGCCCAATACCTAGGGTAAGATACGATTTCTGATCCCTTATGGACCATTGCCGTGGCATAGAATCACTGGGGCAAAGTACTGCCACTGCCCCTGCCACTCCTCCCACCTCACCTTCTCCTGGAAGAGAGGACCCCCACAGGGGTGAATCCCTCTGACTGGTTTCATATGATGTTAATAAGAGGAGGCAGGGTGAACGCCCCACAGAAAGTAGTCCTTCAAAGAATTACAATTTTAAAATGGCACTGCTGAGAGTGTAACTTAACCTAGCTTGCTAGCCTGTAGTAGCTCCAATAAGATATGTGCAGTGAATAAGCAATGCACTCTTGAGTTGCTGTTTTGATCTCCTGTGAATAACAACTAGAGGTGTGTAAAATATTCAGAAATAAAAATACTCTTGGGTATTTTCGACCTTGTTATGAATATGAAAATTGCCCTCTTTTCTGAAAAACTCAAAATTTTGCTTAAAAAATGGTGTGGGGGTGGAGGACATATTTTCAAATACAATGAGCAAATGTAGCTCCATGGTAAAAACATATTTAAATGTACCTAAGTCAAGTACTCGTAAATCTGGAAATATTTTAGTTTGATGATGATTTCTGAGTAAGACAGATTGTATTATTTATTTTTATTTTCACTATATAATATGAACACCCTGATCCATACAGTAAATGTTTACCCTTTTCTGAGACTCCTGAGAACGGGCCTATTCCATTTTAGGCTCTTCAGTAACAAAGATTATATTATCATATTCTTTCTCTAGAAGCCAAGGGTTTTTCTGTATAGTTCTGAGTGGGCATAGTTAGACTTGAGGAATAACACAAGCGTTGTCCCTACCTCAACTCCCATACACAAACAAAAATCTCTAGCTGGAAAAAAGTCATATTTTAAGCTTGAGCTAGCTCGCCTGTCAGAGCATGTCTACACTGCAACTGGCAGTAAGCTTTCTGGCTCAGGTATACAGATTCTGGATGCAGTGCATGTGTTTCTATTAGAATTCAGGGAAGATTATACTTTTGAACAAGCAAATAAATGCGATGTTTTTTTTTCATATTTATGTGTTTAAACTGCAAAACATTCTGACTTCTGATAGGTCATGGAACCCAGTGACGATATCCTGTACTAGCAACACAATGATGCCCCTAGATGACTGTTTCCTCCGTATTATACTGCCAGAAGATAGTAAGTCAGAAATCTACACAAGAAGCAGAGGCAGTAATGAATCTCCTACGACCAGTAAGAGCACCAGAAGCAGAAGTAATAGCAGAATTAATTATAGTAGATGCAGTAGAGAATATGAAAGTGAAAGTTCTCCTATTAATTATTCTGATGATTTTCTCACGGACTTTTCTGAATCAGCTGACAATAGCAATAATTTAGAACAGTCTGGAGCCAAAGAAAAGAAACTACAGAAGAGGAAAAATAAGAAAAACGGTCAGTCAAAAGGTAAAAAGTCTTCTTGTTTCCCCATTAATAAATGAGATTGTTGACAATAGCCAAATAATATACATCTGACGATTGATATTATCCCCTCTTCTTCACAGTTTTTGTCTTAATATGTCACATTAAATAAAAATAAGACTTTGTTTTAGGTCCATTTCAGTCTCTCATTTGTCAACCAATATAATACTGAACAAGTTATATTATACAAAATATATCCTTTCTTTGTAAACACTAACATTTTTACTTTCATGTCTAGAAATGGATTTCCTTAATTCCCACCATTGAAGTACACAAAGTGATTGTAAAACTCAGGTGTCAATTCTCACCCCTGTCTATCACACTCATGGGGTCCCAAAAACTTGGCTCCAGCCCGAGCGTCTACTCTAAACTGTAATTTTATAACCCCAATGGCCAAACCCTGCAAGTCTGAGTCAGCTGACATGGACCAGCCATGGGTCTTTTATTGCAACATGGACATACAACTGGAATTCCCAGTTCACATGACCTCATACATCATGCTTTTACCCTCTTCTCCTTCAAGCAACTCCTTTTGAGATGCCACTTCCAAAAGGTTTATACAACCTACTCTTTTCCTCAAAGAACTGTTAACAAGACACTCTGGAGAAAATAAACAAATAAAACCAGAAAACTCATGGAATTAATGCATAGACAAAAATGGAATTAATAAAATACCAGCTAATTTGACTATGTAATCACTTGCTTGCATAATCCTATCCCCAGCCTTCATCCGTAACATGATCCAAATAAGGTGTCTTTTTTAAGTGAGGGTAATTAGCCACTGGAACAATTTACCAAGGATTGTGGTGGATTCTCCATCGCTGGTGATTTTAAAATCAAGATTGTATATTTTTTTCTAAAATATCTGCTCTAGGAATTATTTTGGGGAAGTTGTGTGACCTGTGCTACACAGAAGGTGAGACTAGAAGATCACAATGGTCCTGTCTGGCCTTGAATCTCTAAATCTATTATGTTTTCTATTTAGTGCCTGCTCTTGTAAATAGTTCATATCTGGAACTCTCATTAAGTTCAACAGAGGTGCTTAACAGGATTTTGCCCTTAGATTGCAAGTTCAAGTCAGGGACCCTGAATGCATAGTTATCTTTTAAAATGTCTAAAAGATTTTGGGTGTTATACAGATTCTAAAGCTAATTCTCTAGTGGTGTACTTCCTGAAATGCCTTAGAGCTACTATGACATTGAATTGCTGCATAAAAGGAACAAAAACATTTAGACTTTAGAGTTCCAACTCTTTAAATTTTCAGTTATACTTCAGAAAGGGACATTGATGGTAGTGTTATCCTTAAAATGTCATATTTATCAAATATGGTATATTGAATGGAAAACTGTATAACTAATTCAAAATGCCTGGTAATATAAACACTATGGCTGTGTCTAGACTGCAGGTTTTTTTTTTTTTTTAAAGTAGCCTTTTTTCAAAAAAACTTCACCTGCGTCTAGACTACAGCCATGTTCTTTTGAAATTAAATTGAAAGAATACGGCTTTTCTTTCAACGGTGGTACTCATTTAATGAGGAAGAACGCCTTTTTTCGAAAGTGCTCTTTCGAAAAAAGGCGTTCTTGAATGTAAACAGGGCTTTTTCGAAAGAGAGCATCCAGACTGCCTCAGTGCTCTCTTTCAAAAAAGTGGCTCACTTTTTCGAAAGAAGAGGTTGCAGTCCAGACGCTTTCTTTCGAAAGAGGCTTGTAGTCTAGACGTACCCTATATTAATTCTTGTAAGATATGTTTGATTTAGTTCAAATCAAAAGATGGTTTGAAAGTGATACAATTATGTGTAGAATTCCTAGATGCAGATTTGTTAGGGTATGTACTATTATCATCATTTTGCTTTCTGACTTTTTGCAAATACAGTAAATTATGATTTTCTTCCTCCTCCATCATGAATTGAATTTTTCTAAGTAGGGCCTTATCCAACTCCACTGAAGTCATTGGGAGACTTTCCATAGGAAATTGGATCAGGCCCATACAATCTAATCCTCTGAAAGCACACATTGACTTCAATGAATTATTGAGAGACAAACTTTGTTTCAGGTGGCATTGAGGAGACTGTTTTGTAAGGACATCTCACTAGCCTCAGAGAAATCCTCATTTCTCTCAGAGAAAGCTGTTGCTGTAATTTTAGCAGTAAGGCTATCTAAAGTGAAGATGGTTTCTTGGGGAAGATAGTGGTCAATAGGATGAGGAAGTCAAAGAACCTTTGGACCTCATATGGATCTGGCTTTTGTTGTGTCCAAATGCTGTCAGGAAAAATCCATGCTATAGATGTATCAGCACAAAATATTTGAACAGTGAAATTTTAATACAGATTTTTGACACTGCCATACATACTGGCTTTAAGTAGCTTCAGATAGCTAAAAGTAAAAATATGTACTGATATTGTTTTCTGTACCATTACATGATATGTAAGTTGCTATAAGTTTGTTTTGGTCTGAATGCAGGAGGCAAGAAGTTGCCATCTAAGAAGATGCAACTCCAGAATACTTCATTTGTAAGTGCTCAGAATAATATGGTATTCCAGAAAAAAGATGCTACGGCTCAACGCATATTATCTGCAAGACTTCACAAAATTAAAGAGCTGAAAAATGAATTGTCTGACCTCCAGCATAAACTAGAAGCATCAAACTTAGAAAATCAGCTTCTGAAGCAGCTTCAGTATCGGCACTTGAAAGCAATAGGTAAATATGAAAATGCAGAGAATAACTTGCCTGATCTTATAGCAAAACATTATAGTGAGATAAGATCTCTAAGGGGACTACTTAGCAAATCTCAGGAACAGGAGCGAAATACATCCAGGAAGCTTAGAGAAGTTGAAGCAGAGCTGTTAAAGACTAAAGATGCCTTGCAACTATTGCACAAACTTTCAGAAGACAAGAATCTTGCAGAGAGAGGGGAACTTACTCATAGATTATCAATCCTTACAGAAAAAATGGAAGCCAATGATAAGAGAATACAGGTAATATGCAACATAACCTTGTATTTTTAGAACTATGATGGGAAACATTTTTGTGAAATAATAATGCAAGAGGATTAATCAATGCATATAAATGAATATTTATAGTGCAAGCTAACAATACAGAAATTCAGATGCATTTGTTTTAATCCAAAGCTTTCCAAAGTGTAGTGATAGTATGAATGAATTACCCATAAATTTAATAAAATCTTGTAAAAATATATCAGAGAATTAAACCAGGAAATAAAGATTAGTTAAACTGTTGCCCTGTTTCCTTTAAAAATCTGACATACTACTGGAGATCTGTTTCCAAATCTCCCAATCATTCCTTAGTACAGTTGTAGTCAAGCATAGAGCAGTGGTTGACTAGTGCATTAAGCATTAGTCAGGAGTCCTAGATGTAGCTGTACCACTGATTTGATATGTGACTGTGGGTAAAAGAATGAACTTATTTGAGCCTTATGTTATTCATCTGCTAAAAGAATGGACAGTGTTTAAGGAAGGTGATGTGAGGGTTTATAAACAAATATATACTTTGAAATTCTTGTATGAAAGATGCAGTATAAAATATAATATTATTTATTTCAAAGTTTTTTGAAAGAGTTAAGATTTAATTTATATTGTGACCCCATCGTTGTGATATATAATGGTATTTAATCAAAATTAATAAAAACAACTGTTGCCAGCATTTGAGTGAACAACACCCCTGTGAGGATGCAATATTCTTCCAGAAGGACATAAAGAATGGAGGGAGAAGCATGAAGAAATAATATAGTATAGAGATTCAGTAAAGTGAGAATTGACAGAGTAGCCATTGGGAAGAATACAAGAACAATTGCTTCATAAATTCATAATACTATTTCCCCCTTATTTCTGGGGATGGCAATACTCTAAAATCTACCTCACAGCTAACATCATCTCCCAACCTTTGATGTTGCTCCCTCTCTGCATTACAGTGATTTGTCTCCAGTGGAGAGTGTTGTATATTGTTCTTTCTGAAGCTTATTAACACTGCTTTTATAGGATGCTTCTAGAGAGCTGTGGAGCATGGTCTTTCCTTACCCCTCAAGGGTTGGGCTTTTACAGTATTCCCAGGGAGTTAGAGATTGAAACACCAAGTATCACAATGACCAACTTTTAGGAACCTAGCAAATAACAGAAAAAATGTGGTGATACACAAAACCTGAACTTGGTGCTTACGTTCTCTACAAAGAATGGGGAGAGATAGATGTCTTAGAATGTGATCAGCAAAAGCCAACATTCTACTCGGGAGCCATCTAAACTAGCTAATCAGAGATGCTAATAATCAGTGTGCTGAGCCCCAACCTCTCTGAGACAGGCACCTAAATCTGGGCTTCAGGAAGGTGCCTAAATCTATTTAGTGATCAACAAACAGGAGCCAGGCACATAGTGTCAGGTGGCCTAAGTCCTGCTTCAAGGAATGAACTGTGTGCCTACTTCACACCACACAATTGCCACCAGAGGAGTAGGAGATGGTGATCGTACCCACCTTATAACTTTATTTGTGATTAGAACAACTTTGTGCTCTTTCTACTGAGCTACAGATATTCTGATATGGGACTCTCTCAATCTCTCCTTTGAAGGTGTTCCACTGTGAATTAAATAATGAAAGGGTAAATGGCTGGGGGGGGGGGTATGTACGTACGTATGTGTACACACACACACACACACTACAAAGTTTAAAACTCTGTAGAATCCATGCTCTTTTTCGTACCAGTTTCCAAAAAATCAGACGCACTCTTTCGGAAGCCCTCTATTCCTCATTTTATGAGGAATACGAATTCTTCCAAAAGAGGAGATTTTTTTTCCACATTTGGCCCCATGTAGATGGGCCAAATGTCAGAAAAGCCTCTTCTATAAAAATAATTGGAAAAAAGTATGCAAATTGTGATTTGCAATTTGCGTACCTTTTTCCGAAAAATAGCCTGAGTGAGTTTGTAGGCTGGTGGTTAAGGCTAGTACAGTTCCCTTCCTCTGTTCACTGCATTTTTTTTTATCTACAAGGTAACAGTTTCAGCAAGAGAGAATGAGGGAACCCCCAAATCAGAATGTTTTGTAGTTCAGTGGTTAGAGAACTGTCCTGAGAAATAGAAGATCCCCTGTACAAGTGCTTTCTCATGAGAGGGGGGATTTGAACCAGCATTTCCCACATCTTAGGTAAGTGCTCTAACCCAGGGCTAAAAGCTATAAACAGGACAATACCCTCTCCTCCTCCAACTGATTTAGGAAGGGAAGGCACCTACTGGATCAAGCCCTATATGCGATTTAGGCAGTCCAGTGCCTATTTTCTCCCAATTCATTAATTACTCTGGGCTTAGGCAGGAGGGAGGCATCTGAACTCCCAGAGTGGGGAAGCAGTGGCCTTATTCCAGAATCTAAAACTTATGCGCCTAGGGAACGTTACAATGGAAAGTTAAGCATGAAGCCCTGGCCTACACAAGGGTATTATTTCAAAATAACCCCCTGTGATTGATGGGAGGAGTGCTGGCTAGTATCCTGTGATTAAAGAGTTAAACTCAGGTAGCTAGCAGGGATGTTAAAAGCCAGGAAAACCAATGGGAAAGATGGTTGAAATTTGAATGATATATAGATACCTGCTGCTGTTTCTCTTTGTGTGACATAAGTTAAGCGCTGGAGGGATCAATATGCAATAATCAGAATTACTGTGCCTACAAGGAATATTGGGCATGGGAGGGAACTGGGCCTTGAAATATGGATCAGCACGGATTGTGAGTAGAGAGAAGAATGAATATTTAGTTGCGATCAGAGTTGTTTTCTTTGTTTTGGTTGGTTGGTTAAGCTCCTCTCTGTGAATCCATGCCTTCCCTCCCCCATTCACTATCTAAGATGTACCCAGAGATGTTCTCTGTGTTTTAATTTGTTTTACTTAGTTGCTCTGTAACACCTAGCTACCAAGTATGCTTTATCAAGAATATCTTTTTGTTTTCTTAATAAAATCACAGTTTTTAAGGCGATGATTTGATTCTTGTGTCCTGGAAGGAAATAGGAGGTCCGTGTATGTGTATGCATGCCTAAGACTGAGAGGTCAGCTACCAGAGACTGCAGCTTGTTTTCTCTCTTTCTTCCGCCCCTCCCCCAGGCTCTCTTGTGGTAAAAGAGCTTGGGGGGTATCCCTCTGGAATAAGTCCAAGTGCTTTCTTCCTGGGTTCAAGAAGAAAAGGGTTCTTTTGTGCAAAAACCCCCTCTTGCGCAAGAGCATTTCTTCCTTCCTGAAAAAAATGAGAACGGCTCTTGCGCAAGAGGGGGTTTTTGCGCAAAAAGGAGGTGTCTACACAGCTCCTTTTTGTGCAAAAGCCTCTTGCGCAAAAGTTGCTGCTAATTAATTATGCAAATTAAGCGTGACGATATTCTACTTCGTACTTCATTTGCATAAGTTTTTCCGGAAGAAGGCTACAGTGTAGACATAGCCTTGGTGGTGGCAGCTATCTCCCGAAGTCAGTGAATCTGACCTTGCAGAGTTTTTAAGAAGAAGCCTATAAAGGTAAGGTATTTTAAGGTCTCTTGCAGGCCCCCACCTTCTTCATTTGAAGTGCTAGAGTGGGGAACAGCCCTGACACTCCTCTTTAGGGCACATTTATAAGCGGAATGCCCACACTACCAAACCCATTATTTTGAAATAATGGGCTGCTTATTTCGAAATCTGTACTCTTGCTTTCCTTGGGAAATAACACTAATTTTGAAATAGTTATTTTGAAATAGAGTTAGTGTGGATGCTCCGGTGCTGCTATTTTGAAATAACTACTCCCCAGAGTAATTTGAACTAATTACTCCCCAGTGCTTTTTGGGGCTCTTAAGTCGAGGTAGCATTTCCACAATAACGGAGCCTGCCTCTGAGTAATTTCGAGGATTCCCCATAGTGGGGACATGCTCTTTCAATTTTGTAAAATCAGGTGTTAAGTCAAATTTAGTTATTTCTAAATAATTTCCTAGTGTAGACATGCCCCAAGTGAGTTTTGGTGCCTACAGGATGAGGTAGCAGTGAAGCAAAAGTTTCCCCCAGTGCTGCCACACATGGGGATTTAGGTACCTAAGGCTGTGTCTAGACTGCAGGCTTCTTTCGAAAGAGCCTCTTTCGAAAGCATCTTTCGAAAGAGGCTCTTTCGAAAGAAGCCTGCAGTCTAGACACAGCCTGTGGGGATTTAGGTACCTAAGGCTGTGTCTAGACTGCAGGCTTCTTTCGAAAGAGCCTCTTTCGAAAGCATCTTTCGAAAGAGGCTCTTTCGAAAGAGCGCGTCTAGACTACAATGCGCGGATCGAAAGATCGATCCGCTATTTCGAAAAAGAGCGTCCAGACTGCCGGACGCTCTTTCGAAATTGAAAGCCACCCGGAACTGCTTCTGCCAGGGCATGGGGGCAGCATTTCCTTCCGGGTGCTGCCTGCCTGCCCTTTGCAGAGACGCGTGGTGAGAGGGACACTCCTGAACACCCGTTGCTCTGCTCCTGCAGCTGCCTTTGCTGTCCCTTGAGGAATTTTGCAAGGCATTGCAGTGCTTGTTTGGAGTGCTCAGCTTCCTGGGACACCCCAGCAGCTTTTTTCTTTTGAGGTTTTTCTGCTTGCAGACCCTTATTTGTGGCATGGAGCCAGAGCTGCCCCTGGGCAGGCGAGGGCCCCACACCACCATACTGCAGCTGTTGCTGCATCTTCGTGAGACAATCATGAGGCTCCTTCCCGAGCTGGACCCAGACCAGAGGGACGAGGGGTCCCCCCGCCCACCAGCCACACTGCCCTTGCCTCCGAACTTTTTCGTGGACAGGCGTGTTTGGAGGTTTGACACCAGCTCTGAATGGTGGGACCGGCTCGTGATGGAGATCTGGGATGACCAAGACTGGCTACGGAACTTCCGCATGAGAAAGACCACTTTCCAGGAGCTGTGTACCTGGCTCGCCCCTGCTCTGGAACGGCAAGACACCCACCTGCGGCCCGCCATCCCCCTGGAAAAGAGGGTCGCCATTGCCCTCTGGAAGCTGACACCCCCCGGCAGCTACCGCTCCGTGGGACACCAATTTGGCGTGGGGAGATCTACTGTCGGGGCCGTCTTGATGGAGGTAAGTCATTGTCTGGGGACAGTCACAGTTTGGGGTGGGGGGAAGGGAGACTGTCAGGAAGGGCCAAGTGGAGTGGGAGTGGGAGGGAGCTCCTCCACTCACCCTGAATTGTGTGTGGGGGGGGTTCTGAGGAGGGGATTCCCGGGGTGTTTGAGAGGGAAGGTGGGCGGTGGGTTCTCCTCCTAAGACATAAGGCACCCCTTCTAACACTTTGTTGTCTGTCTCGTTCTGCAGGTGGTGAGGGCCATCAATTCGGAGCTGCTCAACAGGCTCATCTGTCTACCGGATCTGGACAGCATCATGGCCGGCTTTGCTGCCCTCGGCTTCCCCAATTGCGGAGGAGCGCTCGATGGGACACACATTGCCATCCGTGCACCGCCCCATCGAGCAGCCCAATTCATCAATCGAAAGGGCTACTTTTCTATGGTCCTCCAGGCCCTGGTCGACCATCGTGGACAGTTTTCGGACATTTGTGTTGGGTGGTCAGGGCGGGCACACGATGCCCGCATCTTCAGAAACTCGTACCTGTACCGGAGGCTTCAGGCAGGAACATTTTTCCCCCATCGCCAGTTTGCGGTTGGGGATGTGCACATGCCGGTGTGCATAGTGGCTGATGCCGCCTATCCCCTGATGCCGTGGCTGATGAAGCCCTACACCGGACAGCTGGATGCGAGCAAGGAGCAGTTTAATGCTCGCCTTAACCGGGCTCGCAACCAGGTGGAATGTGCGTTTGGCCGTTTAAAGGGCAGATTCCGGTGCTTGCTCACACGCCTCGACATGGGGGAGACCAACATCCCCGAGGTGGTGGCCGCGTGTTGCGTCCTCCATAACCTCGTGGAGAGGAAAGGGGAGGCCTTCCTACCAGGGTGGGGGAGAGCTGCTGATGCCCAGGAGAGGCTCTTTGCCCAGCCCCGGACAGCTGCCATCCGCCAGGCTCACCGGTCTGCAGTTGGCATCCGGGAGGCCCTCCGGGAGCAATTCTCCAGTGGAGGCCACTGAG